CCAGAGAGGTCTAATTGAAAAGATTGGTTTCCATTTAGAAAAAAACATATGTTGTTCTTGGGTGACACACCTTCAAACATCTGTAATATTCTATCAGTCCTTGTTACTAAAATTTATTGTAGTGTTCCAGGTAAGCATTTATGACTGATTGTTTAGTTATGTTTTTAAATATTCGTAACAGTTCATGACATGCTTGGCTGCTGCTGAAGTCCTTGGTGTCTAATTAGGGAGTTTTCTTTCCTAGCTTGACCTCTCTTCTACCTATTGAAGATGCCAAGTAGCGATGTCATGTATGTTTCCATAGCTACAGATCCAGTTTTTACATGCATGTTTAGACTCACAACAGGGGCAGTTGGACTATAAGAAGGGAGAGTCTTGGCCAGATGTGGTGGTGCACGCCTTTAATCTCTGTGAGTTCGGATCTCTGTGAGTTCGAGAGTTCAAGGCCAGCCTGGTCTCCATAGTGAATCCAGGACAGCTCGGGCTACTGGGAGACCCTGTCTCAAAAAGACATTAAAAAAAAAGGGGGGGGGAGTCTTTATCCTAAAACAAATACCTGATAAACAAGAGAAAAATAAAGTAAATTACATGCTCTTTCTTGCCACTGTGGCAAAGATCTTTTATGGAAATTCATTGATGAATACCCTCTGGGCATACTTAATTCTTATTAAGCACAATATAGACAAGCTTTGTATCAGGAAAGGTCTCAAAATATTTCAAAATTGTGTTTCGTGAGGTTGAACCTGTAGCTCATAGCTCACTTCATAGAAGTAATTGATATTCATTTTGTTAGTTTGTGGGGAAAAACTGATTTTAGCTTTGATGATTTCAGTGAGTTTGAATTATTTGAGTTGGGCATGACAGTAAATATCTGTGATATCAGTACATGAAAAGCTAAGACAGGACTGTTAGTTATAAGTTCCAGGCCAGCTTGGGCTGCTGACTGAGACCCTGTCTAAAAAACATACAAAAAGCAAAATGCAAAAAGAGAATTATTTGAATACTTAGGTAATTGTAGTATAAATGTTGTAGATAATTAAATTTTAGGTATGTGAGGCTATTTTTAATGATTTCTCCCTAGATTTCCATATGTTCTGTTACTGGGTTGAGTGACCATAGCCATATAGTCTCTTCCCAGTGGTCTTGAAGCTCTTAAAGAGCAGGTGCTGCTTCAGTGTGCCGTTTTGAAGGAAGAAAATGAATTTGGGAGAGAATGCTATTTAAAATGCTAGGAATGCTATGTATATGTTTATAGCCAATACTATTCTAGACCTAAATTTCATTGTTTTTTCTTATTGTAAAGGGAACTGAGTGGTTTAATTTTTATAAACTCAAGATGAAAAACCTTAAAATAATTTGTGTTAAAAATTGGTGTGGCTAAGGGTCATTAAAATTAGGCACTGTTTGGTGAGAGTACACTCTCACATAAGATCAAGCCAGACAAAATCCCAACATAAAAGTAAGTAGGGAAGAAGCCCCCAACCATAGCTGAGGAACTATTGGCAAGCAATAATTGGGAGAGGCAGAGTCAGTTTTCTTTAAGGGTGTGACCAGGCCCCAGTGGATGTACCCAACCAAAGGACATTTAGGACACAAATTTGATAGGCCTTTATTTATACATGTATATTATATATTATTATTATGTAATACACACATATTAGAGTACATGAAATTGGACCAGGAATTATTAAGGTATGGGTCATGGATAAGGATGTGGGGGGGGGGCTCATTTTTAAAATTTTTTTTTTTTAATTTTTTTTTTTTTTTTTTTTTTTTTTTTTTTTTTAAAAATTTTAAGGAAACAACTATGAAGGTATGAAAAGCTACTACACCATGTGGGTGCTGGGAATAGAACCCGGGTCCTCTGAAAGAGCAGTCAGTGCTCTTAACCTCTGAGCCATCTCTCCAGCCCCAGGAGGGGTCTCTAAATATGACCAAAATATAATGTATGAAATTTGAAAAAAAATTCAATAAAATGAAAAAATTAGTGCTGTTCTCTGCTGTTTTAAAAACTAATCAGTAATATTATAGTTACAGATTTCAATGAGTTTTTTTCACCATGTATTTTAATTGAATTTTTGTGCATTTCATATAATACATCTTAATTGTATTTAGACCCCCTTTATCTGTCCCACTCCCATAGTCGCCGCACTAGATTTCATATGTTCCATCACTTATGTTAAGGCCTATCGAGTCAAGTTTGTGTCTCCAGATGTCCCTCAGTGTGACTTTATCCACTCGAGCCTGATCAGCCTATCTACATCACTCCTTTAAAGAAAACAACTCTCCTTCACCTAGCAGTGTTCAATTGCCAGTAGTTCCTCAGTTAAGATTTGAGACTTCGTGCTCATTTCCCCAGTTCTGTGCTGGGTTTTTGTCTGGTTTGAGTTTGCATGGGTCTTGTGCATGCTGTCACTATTGCAGTGAGTTCATATGATGAAGTTCCCAGAAGCTTGGAAGACTCTGTCCTTGTGATCATCTACCACCCTTGGCTCTTAGAATCCTTCTACCCCTCTTCCACAATGATCACTGAGTCCTGGATGGCTGAGGTTTAATATAGGAATCCTGTCCAGGGACACATACTCTGAAGTTTCTTATTCTCTACACTTTGGCCACTTGGGGCCTTCTGTGTTCATCTTCCTCTGTTGCATGAGGAAGCTTCTCTAGTGAGAGTGAGAGTTGAGAAATACATTAGTATACTCTCTACCACCTGTTTCACTGTGTTCTGTGAGCCTTAGGTATATAGGTTCCATTATAGATGAGCTGGATATCTCATAGACATTTATTCTTTGTGTTTGACTAGTTGCGGAACTCTGTAATAGTCTCCATTTGTTGCAAAAAAAAAAAGCTTCTTTGATGAGTGTTGACAGGTGTACTTGTCTGTAAATATAGGGATCAATATTGAAATACAGTAAGAAATTATGTATAGGGATGTGACAGATGTAGGGTTTTCTCTAGGCTCTGTGACCTCTCCAGGTACATGTGTTTGGCTGTGTTTACAGTACTACACAGGAGTTCCCTCCCATTGAGCAGGCTTTAAGTCCAATTGGATAGCTGTTGATTATCCCTAAGATTAAAGTGACACTACTGCACCAACAGTGATACTTTACTGTACTAGCCACTGTTGTGGTTATTAGGCTTTAAAGCTGATGTTGGGCTGTTGATTGAATTTCTCCCTTAGCAGCTTGCATAGTATTTTCTGAAACTATGACGCTAGTCTTCAGGGAGGAGGCTTCTAGGTCAGTTCCAGCTCCATTGTGCCAAATTCTGTGTTCAAAGTATGTCATCTTCAGGCTGTGGAAATAGCCTGTATTATTTTGGGAGTCCCTTGGACTACCCTGACCAATAACTCAAAGGAAGGTTTCTCCTATCTGGCAGTATGTTTCTTGTTATATAGCCTTCACCTATACACATGCACTCATGTATGATATTGTATGTGTATTTTTCAGTAGGCTTTTGAACTAATACATTTCCCTTCGTTTGTTCATACCACCTAAGCATTATTTATCTCTCTCCTCTCTCTCCCTGTCTAACCCTCCCTTCTCCCTCCCCAGTTAAAGTACCCTCATTTTCCCCATTTCCCACTTAATGGTACCTATCTCCTTTTATACTCCCTCTCTTGAGCTTACCCCCTGGTTCCTTGAATGACACTTTCTCTTCCCTTCACAGTTAAACACTTCCATTTTCCCCATTCCCCCCTTGATAACACCTGTCTCCTACTATCCCCCTCTCTCATACTCCTTTGCCTTTAACTCCATGGTTTCTTTTCATTTTCCTGGCTTCTGTGGTTACATCAGGACATATACTCATGTCTAAGGTGCTAAGATCCATAAATGAGAGAGAACATACATCGCTTGTTTTTCTGCATATGTGTTACTTCTCTTAGTATAACAGTGTCTAGTTACATTTATTTACTTGCAAATTTCAGGATTTCATCTTTCTTTCCCACTGACAAGAACTATACTGCATAAATACATCACATTTTCATTATTCATTCATTAGTTGAGGGGTATTTAAGTTGTTTCCATTTCTTAGCTATTGTGTACAGGTATCTCTGTAATCTGCAATGGGATGAGTCCTTTGTGTATATGCCAGGGAGTGGTATAATTGAATCATGTGATAGATTCATTTTTACTGGTTTTTAAAAATATTTATTTTTATTTTATGTGTATGAGTATATTGCATCCGTGTGGTGCAATGTCTGCAGAGGTCAGAAGAAGGTGCTGTTGAATCTCCTGGAACTGGAGTTACAGTTGTTAGCCACCATATGCTGGTAATCAAACTCTGGTCCTCTGCAAGAACAGCTGGTGCTCTTAACTGCCAAGACATCTTTCCAGCCCTTTATTTTTCCTGTTTTAAAGAGTTCTGCACATTGCTTTCCATAGTGGTTGTACCAGTTTGCAGTCCCACCAGCAGTGAGTGAGCATTCACTTTTCTCCACATTCTCGCCAGCATTTGGGGTCATTTGATCTCTTGATCTTAAGTCATTTTGACTGGGATAAGATGAAATCTTAAAGTGGTTTTGATTTTCATTTCCCTAATTACTAAGATGTTGGACACCTTTTAAGGTGTTTCTTAGTCATTTTTATTTATTCTTTTGAGAACTCTCTGTTCAGATCTATAGCCCACCTTTTAATTAGGTCGTTTGTTTTCTTCCTTGTTTTTTGAATTCTTTGTATATTCTGGATGTTAATCCTCTGTCAGACCTGTAGCTGGTGAAGGTTTTTTCCTACTCTGTTTCCTCTTCATTTGGTTAGTTGTTTCCATTGCTGCACAGAAGCTTTCTAGTTTAGTGAGGTCCCAGTTGTCCATTGTTGACCTTAATTCCTAAGCAACTGATGTCAGATTTAGAAAGTCCTTTCCTCCACCTATATCTTGTAGGGAACTGCCTATGTTTTCTTCTAACAGTTTCATGAATTCAGGTTTCAGATTGAGGTCTTTGCTCCATTTGGAGCTGACTTGGATGATATAGATAAGGGTCTAATTTCATTCTTCTACAGATGGAGATCCAGTTTTGCCAGCACCATTTGTTGAAGATGCTGTCTTTTCTCCAATGTGTATTGTTGGCACCTTTGTCAGGTATCATGTGACTGAAATTGCTTGTACTCATGTTTGAGTCTTCTATTATATTCCATTGATCTACATGTCTTTTTTTGTATGTGCCAGTACCATGCTGTTTTTATGACTGTAGCTCTGTAATAGAGTTGAGGTCTGGTATGGTGACCCTGTAGCATTGCTCTTTGTTCTTAGGATTGCTTTTGCTATCTGGGGTCTTTTGTGATTCCATATGAATTTTAGGATGACTTTTTCTAATTTTGCAAAGAATTTCATAGAGATTTTGATTGGCATTGCATTAAATCTATAAATTGTTTTTGGTCAGATGGCCATTTTCACAATATGAATTTTAACAACCCATGAGCATGGGGGGTGGTTTCCATTTCCTTATGTCTTCTTCAATCTCTTTTTTCCTCTGAGATTTAAATTTTTCATTGTAGAGATCCTTAAAGTCTTTGGTTAGGCTAATTACTCGATTATTTGGGGGGGGCAGCATTTTGAATGGGAGGGTTTTTCCAAAAAGTTTCTCTGGTTGTTTATTACTGGTGTATAGAAAGGCTGCTGATTTTTGTGAGTTGACTTTGTAACCTGCCACTCTGCTAAAAGTGTCGATCATTTCTAGAAGTTTTCTGGTGGAATTTCTGGGATCTCTTATGTATAATATCATACCATCTGCAAATAAGGTGGTGTGCACCTTTAATCCCAGCCCTTTGGAGGCAGAGGCAGGTGGATCTCTGTGAGGTTGAGACATCCTTGTCCAAGTGGGCTACAAGTGGGCTATGACTAGGGAGACCCTGTCCAAAAAGAAAAAAAGAAAAAGAAAGTACCCCTTTAATTTCCTTCTCTTGTTTTTTGCTCTAACAAAGAGTTTCAAGCAGTATATTGAAAAGGAGGGAGGTTAACAAGCAGCCTTGTCTGGTTCCTTATTTTAATGAAAATACTTCCAGTTTTTCTTTATGTAGAAGAAAGCTGACTATAGGTTTGTTGTACATAGCTTTTTAAAATATTTATTATTTTTATTTTTTGTGTGTATGAGTGTGTTGCTTGCATGTATGTAAGTGCACCCATGTTGTGCAATGTCTGGGGACATCAGAAGAGGGTGTTGGATCCCCCTGGAACTGGAGTTAGCTACTATATGGGTGCTGGGAATTGAACCCGAGGCCTCTACAGGAACAGCCAGTGCTTTTAACACTGACCCTCTCCAGCCTCTGGTTGTATATAGCTTTAATTATGTTGAGGTATGTTCTCTCTAGTCCAGTTCTCTCTAGGACTTTTATCATTAATACATGTTAGATTTTGTCAAAGGCCTTTTCTGCATCTATTGAGATAATCATGTGTGTGTGTGTGTGTGTGTGTATGTGTGTTTATGTAAGTCCATTTATGTGATTTATTACATTTATTGATGAATATTAAACCATCCTTGCATCTCTGGAACAAAGCCTACTTGATCATGGTGGATGATCTTTTTGATGTGTGTCTGTATGTGGTTTGCAAGTATTTTGTTGAGAATTTTTGCATCTATATTCGTTACACTTTTTTTGTTGTATCTTTACCTGGTTTTGACTGGCTTCGTAGATGGAGCTTGGGAGGTCTCCCTCTACTTCTATCTTTTAGAATAATTTAAGTATTAGTGATTGTAAATCTTTGAGAATCTGGAAAAATTCTGTTGTAAATCCAATCAGGGCTGGACTTTTTTATTGGGAGGCTTTGTATTACTGTTTCCATTTTCTTATTTGGATGTCTGTGGTGATGCTTTTCCCTTTCATCTCTGATTTTGTTGATCTGGATTTGCTCTTTCTTTAGGTTAGCTGGGCTAAGAGTCTATCTTAATGTTTTTTTTTCCCCCCAACGAACCAGCTCTTAGATTCATTGATTCTTTGTATTGTCATCTGTTTCTATTCGTTGATTTCTGCTCTGATTTTTATTTCTTCTCATCTGTTGCATTTGGGTTTGATTTATTCTTCTTTTTCCAAATTCTTGAGTTGTTTCTGATTTTTTAACGTAAGTGCTTAGAGCTATGAATTTGTCTGTTAGGACTGCTTTTGTCCTAGAGGTTTTGTTGTGTTGTGTTTTCATTTTCATTTAGTTCCAGGAATATTTTTATTTCTTTCTCTTCTTTGACTTCTTCATCATTCAAGATGTGCTGTTTAATCTCCATGTTTCTGTAGTTACTACAGCCTCTTTTGCTATTGATTTTAAGTTTTATTTGGTTATAGTCTGATGGAATACTTGGAATTATTTCAGGTATTTGGGTTTTTTTCGGTATTTGTTGAGGTTTATTTTGTGCCCTTGTATGTGGACTATTCATGAGAAACTTCCATGGACTGCGGAGTAGAATGTGTATTCTTCAGTGTTTGGGTGGAATATTCAGTAGATGTCTGTTAGGTCCATTTGTTGTATGGTATTGTTTAATTCAGATGTCTCTTTATTCTTTATCTGGGTGACCTGTCTAATGGAGACAGTGGGGTCTTACTATTACTGAGTTGGGGTTAATCTGTGTCTTAAAGTCCTGTAGTAGTGGTTTTATGAAATTGGGTGTACCAGAGTTTGATGCATATATATTCATGATTGTTGTATTTTCTTGGTCGATTGTTTCCTTGATCAGAATGTAGTGACCTTCTTTATCTCTTCTGATTAATTTTAACTTGAAGTCTATTTTGACAAATATTAGAATAGCAACTCCTGCTTATTTCTTAATGTAATTTCCCTGGAATATTTTTACCATCCTTTCCCCCTAAGGTAGTACCTATCCTTGGAGATAAGATTCTTTAAATCAACAAAAAGGGATTGCTTCTTAATCCATTCAACTGGTCTGTGTCTTTTGACTGGGGAGTTGAGGGCATTGATATTTAGAGTTATTATTGAAAGGTGTGAATTGGTTACTGTCATGTTATTTTCTGTCTGTGTTTTCAGTCTTAGTTTGTGTTTCTATGCTTTAATACCTTCATTTGTTTTCTTTCTGTAATCTCTTGAATATGGTCATTTCTTTCTTCAGTCATTTGTATTGCTTTGAGTATGCTCTGTAGGGTTGGTTTGATGGACATTTCTTTCAGTCTATTTGTATCGTGAAAGGTCCCCCCCCCCTTTGGCTATGATAGAAAGTTTCGCTGGTATCAGTATTCTGGGTTGTCATCTATGGTCATTTAGAACCAGGAATAATTTGGACCAGCTCTTCTAGCTTTTAGAGCTTGCATTGAAGTCAGCTGTAATTCCTTTATATGTACCTTGTTTTTTTTTCTAGCAGCTTTCAGTATTCTTTGTTCTGTACATTTAGTGATTTTATTATGGTATTCCATGGGGAGTGTCTGTTCTCTTCCTGTCTGATTGATGTTTTGTGTGCTTCTTGTATCTGTATAGGTATGTCTCTCTTAATTTGGGGATGTTTTCTTTTATAATCCTGTTGAGGATCTGATCAGTGCTATTGACTTAAGATTCTAATCCTTTCTCTATGCCTGTGATGATGGTGTCCCACATTTCCTGCATATTCCATTTCTGCGTCTTTTAAATTTTTTTGTATCCTTTGCTTAATTGGTCCAGCTCCTCAACTTTGTTTTCCAGTCTTGATATTCTGTTTTCCATTTCATTCATTCTGCTTGTGAGGCTTTTTCCTTTCATTTCAAATTGACTTACTGAATTTTTCAATGCCATCTTCATTCGGTTTGTGTTTTCTTCTGTATCTTTTGTGTGCGTTTGTTTTTAAGTCCTGATTTTTTTTTCAGGTGTTTATTATTTTACTTTTTGAATTCTTTGAGTTGTTTGTGTGGTCTTTAAAGTCATTGAAGTTTTGATCATGTTTATGATTGTTCTTAATTCTGTGTCGTGTGGTTCCTCTGGGTGGTTCTCATTGTAGTACACTTCTAGGACTGGTGGGTTTTGGTGGAGGTGTAGTATTGTGGTTTTCCATATTATTTGTGTTTTTTTGTTGTAGCCTGGGCATATAGATTCCTTTTGTTGATTGTGTGTCTAAAATGAAATTCTAGCCTGCCTTTTTTTACTTGCAGTTTGCTTCTGTTAATATTGTTTATGGAGCTTGGTTGCTTTCTAGTTGGGTATGAGTAGTTAGTTGGTCTCTGCTTCAGGTTCTCAGTTTTGATTTTTTATTTGTGGGACAGGATGGTTCCATGAATTAGTCAAGAATTCTCTAGCAGGGCACGGAGCCTATTCTGAATTCAAGACTATAGGGATCCAGTCGCTGGATTCTGGTAGACTATTCAGGAAGTTTCAGGCAGGAAGATCAGAATTGGGACTTGGGCATAGGTGGTAGTGAGGACATTGTGGGGAGGGTCTAACTAGCTAATCAGGAGCAGGAGAATATAGCTCATCTGGGCACAGGTGGGGTCAGGTGAGGTGGCAGGGAGATCCACAATAAGGTTCTTTAAAAGTCCCTTCTTGTAAACAGGAAAATTTGAAAGTTGATAGATTAAATATTTAATTGGATTCTTGGTTGGTTGCAGATTCCTTCCTAGGTTGTTCTCAAGAGAGATCTATGGTGCCAAGTTGCAAGTTTCTATCTTTGTAAAAGATACTAAGAATTTGGATCATGATTGGGAGGTATTGTTTACTCATCGATGGGGGAGAAAGCTAAGAAAAAATGACTAAAATCTGACTGCCAGTTGAGAATTAATAGGTCAGACTAAAGGATAAATTGAAAGAGAGAGGTTATCTCATCACCTTCAGCAGTGTAACTAGACAGGGCTTAATTCCTTTTTGGAACCTGTTTGAGAAAGGCTGAATTATGTAGCTAGAGTTAGTGAATTTTTACTGCTCCTAAATACTCCCTTTTGTGAGTCTATACATGTATTCTCATATGGATGCAAGTTGGGTTGTTTGCAGGTTTTTTGCTTTCTGGTAGTTTCTTTTGTTATGGTGATCAGTGCACTTGAATAAACATCACTGTTGGTATCCTGCATGGAATTTCTGGAGACAGTGCATTTTATTGGGAACACTGACAACTATAGTGTGTCCAGAGAAAAGCAGTTAGAAATAGCTCATCCATGTTGTAATCAACCTTTTTTATGTTCTTAGGGACTGAAGAGGTTAATGACAATTTGCCAGAAACACTTCCCTACAGATCCATCAAAATGTGTGGAGTATAATGCACTGTAAGGTCTGCACAGTGTATATACAACAAGAAACTCAAGGAACAGCAGTCAAGGAACAGTGTATGGACTTCTGGCAGTACCAACAGGAATGGAGAGAAGAAAACTCCACCTGGTGCAATTCTTGATTCGTTTTAAGAACTGTGTTAGCTTTCATATAGTATCTGCCTAAAAACTGATTTTTTTGTTTCTTGCTTTCATTTTAAGCCATTGAAAAATTAAAGATGTTATCCACAATTTAAATATGTAGACAACAACAGAAAAGGGTTTAAAATGACCCTTTCCCATGAGATTCAAATGTGTTAGATAATTAGAAACATTTGAGGGTGAATTTAATCTTTCTGTAAAATATAGTGATTTGCACATTTTCTTTTATGTGGTATTTATAGAAAATATTTTTTATATTTCAACAAAAGTATAGGACCATTGAATGAAGCCTATAGTTTTTAAATGTTTCTGATCTTTTGCCATCTTGCAATAAAATGTGAATATGTTACTGTTAACTGTATTTTTCTTGTGTTTCAAACTTCCTTTTGCTTCTAAGTAGAGGAAACTTTATTTTTTGTCATCTTTCTGGACAGATAGAATTAATATGTTTGAAAAACAAAGCTAGTATATTATTGAAATGGTCAAACTGACTTCGTTTTGTTCTTGTTGACTCAAAAGTCAGCAAATTCCCCCTACGTTTCTGCCTAGCTACTCCCCCTGCTCTTGCTAACTGCAGCCAGGTGGAACGACAGTGACGGCTGCACCTGCAGTTTCAGGAAGTACATTATTTCTACAATACTAGAAACTTACATTCGGTCAGGTAGAACATCCTCTTCCAGCTACACCTGTAGTTCCAGGGACCCCATTATTTCTAAATTCTGAGAAATTTGTTTTTCCTAACTGAAACTTAGAAACTTTTTGTTAACTGAAAACCTTTCTGTTAACTGACCTGCCCTTGGTCTGGTGTAACTATGGGGATTTCATGTAACTATAGTTATTGACTTTGCCCCTGACATGTAATTGCATTTTTAAGCTTTATAAACCCTGCTCTGCCTCTCCTCGGGGTCGAGAGTTGTTTTTGGCATTAGCCCCCTCTTGACCCCTGGCTAATTGTTAAAGGAACTTTTAATTTGTCCATCACTATGTAGTGTTCTTCTGTGCCTCACACTTGCCATAACATTGTGCCAGCATAAGTTCAGAAGGCTAGAGCATCAAGGTTGGGGTGAGGGAATGGGTGGTAGAGTCACCTGAGAGTGGCAAAACTGTGACAGTGGTCCTTCTAAAACTACAGCTCCCGGTTCTACCCTGCTAAGCAGGAAATTGCCCAGAGTGATGTCACCACTGAAGACATCAGTGAACTGTGTCCTGGCCTTCCGCAAAGTAAGGACTCATTCTGTGTCATACTTTGCCATGTCATACTTAACATTGTGACACTCACCGTGCTATAGGTTTGAAAGGACTAAGTTAATACAGTTACATGGGTAAGTAAGTTGTTATCCAAAAAGTAGAATGGTGGTGTCAGTGAAGAGTGGGGATCCCCAAATCAGGGCTTCTAGCTTCACATTTCAGCTCCATGTATCAGCAGTACAACTTTTGACAAATGATTTAATCTTGCTGAGCATGGGCTTCCAGATCTCACAGTAGTGATAATGAGAGTACATTCCTTGATGAGTGAAATCTTAGCCCATTACCTGAAAGATGAGCTTGCCCTCCAATAGACAGACAATGGACAGATACCATTTTCCCAAGCTTCACTGCTCCTCTTTGCCTAAGATTATCACAGCTGAGCTTGTTGACTGTCATGTCCCAAAAGGAAAGAAGGGCAGGGAGAGTCAGCCAGTTTGGGCTATTTGTGGTCCATGGCTGTACATAGACAGGACAGTCTCTACTGGTTACTTTCAAGGTGGTACGTATCTTATGTCAAAGGTGCAACTTAGGGAAATTTATTATCAAAAATGAGAAAAAAAATTTCATAAGATATGACAACAAATCTCTTGACATGGTTTTGTTATATAGGACTTCTTATAAATATTATTAGATAATGCCCAAATCACTTTTTCTTCATTTGTAATCAGGTCACAGCATGGTTGGAAATTTCATGTTGTCTTTCCCTTTGCTGTTAATATTCCACATAAAGAAGAAAGTGTATCATGTGACACTAATACTTCTTGAAATTGATCATTGTGGATAGCTTGGGGAAAAAGAATTATGTCCCAGATTGTGATTTTAACCATTCTGAGTGTGAGTGAAGGGAGGCGCATACAAAGATGTGGATTCCTCTCAGAAAAGTTTTCGATATCTTGAAAATTAAAGCTCTTCAGATGACTGCAAATACGGGAAAAGCATTTCATTTTCATTGTTCAAGTTATGGAAATTTTACTTCTGCATATACTACATATTTCTGTTCTAAACTGTTTTTAAAACAATAGACATTTTTTTAATTAGTCACAATTTTAAATAACTATTCCTTCCTCCCTGTTGCCCCATACTTTTATCCATAATAACTGGGAGTTTCTGGATTCAAATTTAGTAAAATATTTCTTTCCTCTCAGAAATAAATGCAGGTGAGGCATAACTTGGATTATGTCCTGATCATTGTACTTAAAAACATACAGCAAATTGAAAGTGCATTTAATACCCCTAACCTAATCAGCTTGACCAAAACTACCTTAAATATGCTCAGAACACTTACCTTAGCCTGGGGCTGGGAAAAATCTATCACAAAGCCTGTTTTACAGTAAAGTGTTTAAAATGTCATACATTATTTTGAATGTGCTATGTCAATCATTACTTGGGAGGTGGTGTGGCTGATGGAACTTTGAGGAGCCACCACCACTACCCAGTGGCCAGCCTGGGAAAACTTCTAAATTTAAGTTCCAAAGTACAGTTTTTACTGAATGCATACTTCCACACCATTGAAAATTGAAGTCTTAAGTCAGAGACTATATTGCTTCTCTTTGGAGTGTCATTATCAACTGAAAAGCCAGCAGGAAGTCACAGCAGTGATTTCAGTCTTTGGGGAAAATGAGGGAAATAAAGCTGAGGTCAAAGAATTTGTTCAGATCTTATAGGATGAAAGGTGAGGTCCTGGGACAGCAGAACCGGGCAGGCGCTGCTCACTGTTAACAGCTGAGGGATTTGTCCTGGACCTGGAACCGTGTGAGAATGTAGAGGTCTGGGAAACAGGACTGACAGTAATAGAACTCCTTAATGTTAAGCTTGACCTCCTGGTACTTACCTTACCTAAGCCAGCACTTTCAACCACTCTGGAGTTTGACCTCAGTAAATAATGTGGAACGCAGCTACCTTTGTTGCTGCTGTTGGAAAGGAATTGTGGAAATGAACAGTTCGGGGAAATATGGAGAAAAGTATTTCTGAAGCTGGAAGATTTAGATTTGAGGATTCATGTCTCTGGCTTCCTTCCTGGCACCCAGTACCCACATTAATGCTGCTGATCATAGAAGCATCATAGAGCTAAGTGGGGCAGTTTGAATGAAAGGGAATCATGAGCCTTAGCTTTCCTTTATCTGAGCATTTTGAAGAGCATAACTTAGTGATTGGGCCTCCTCCCTGTCCCAGTCTACTCCTATGAATCCTGAAAGAATAACTTTATCATACAGAAATTTATGGTATGGTATCATATTGAGAGTCTTGAAAAGCACTTTCTCACAGTATATCAATATAAGAGCTTCCAGCTGTCCAGAGAGCCAGAGCCAGCACAAGTTTCCAGAGAGTCACTATGGGAACACTTTATGGTAACTGATTTCCATCACAGACTGAAGTTACATTGGCTGAATTTTAATCACCAGAATTTTAATGGTTATCATTTCCAAACACGTTCTGGTGGTGTGGAATAACTAGGGGAATGCACTGTAGCTAGCCCCACCAACTGGTGTGAATTGACCTCAGTCAAGGTTTTGGCTTGGAGGAAGGAGTCAAGGAGGAAGAGAAGGGGAGGAGGAGAGGAGGGGAGGAAGAGGTGGTTTTTACATTGGAGAAGGAGGGGAAGGGGAGAGGGCAGGGGAGGAGGAGAGAAGAGGTTTATGATTTATACAGTGGCTAAAACAGTTTATTAATTTTAATATTAGAGCAACCGGGATACTTTATAAGCAAGCTTAAACTAATCTGTGCACTGCCGATGATGACTGTATTTTAACTAGGCTGCTTCCCTCTGTTTAGTTTCCTCCCTGTTCCTAGCTTCCCCCTTATAGTGTCCAAGCTTAGTATATAACTTCACATGATGAAGAGCAGCTCAAGAATTTTCAGGTTCCCTTTGGGCGTTATTTGTAATCTCAAGATTCAGTCACATGGCAATTAAATCATTCGCACAGATTGTCTTTCAGCTCCCGTTCCACAACCTGCCAAACCAAACTGCCTTTGCACTTAAAGTGCTCTTCTTTGAAGACTTAGTAAACATTATAACCTGTATTACAGTCTGAACCTGGCTTAGACTTTTTTCCTCTGAAGGAGTTGAAGTAGCTTTTGAGAGATGTTGACAACCCATAGTGAACAACGAATGCATGAAGACCCAGTATTACTTAAATACCTACACACATAACTGAAACAGAAGAACTTAACTTGCCATGTCTGGGGCTTATATTTTTCTGTTTCATTTGTGGTTTTGTGTGTGTGTGTGTGTGTGTGTGTGTGTGTGTGTGTTGTGTATGAATCCTGATGTGCACATGCCACTATGTGTGGAGAAGTTCAGTCTTCACCTTTGCTCTTGTCTGAGACAAGATCTGTTGTTTTTCTTCACAATATACCAGGCTATCTGGCCCACGAGCTTCTGGGGACTCTCCTGTTTCCACCTACCATCTCCTTGTGGAGTGCTGGAATTTGTGTCCAGCTTTTGTGTGGGTTCTAGGAATTCAGACTCATGTTTGTGGAACAAGCACTTTTACCCACGGAGACATCTCTCCAGGCCTTTTGTCTCTTTAAAATAAATGCACTAATAATGACCCTTTCAGTTGACAACTTATTAATACATTTTAAAAACTACTACCTATAAGGAATTAGCTGAGTTCAAGAAGGAGATGACTTGTTGGATGAATTTAGAGCAAAAGGAGTCTACCTCTTTATTTAATATGGAGGTTGACTCTTAATGTTGGTAAAATTTAGCAGATTATAAAACCTTGAGTACTTCAAATGCTAAGTACTTCTCTGCAATAAGTTTTAAGTTTGTCTATGTATAGAAAAGAATAACAAAGGCAGTGTATAAGCCATCTGCAGGGAAATTGGCAGCATGATTAAATTGTTGGATAGAGCAAGAATAAACAAGGCAGGGCAGTTAAAGTATAAGAGGATAGAAGTGGTGATAGGTGCAGAGTCCAGGTGATGCCTGTTCAAAGTAGCTCAGCCCTTTTAAGAATTATTTCTGAAGGCCCAAGTAGCAGTTTTTTAATGTTAAAATTTGATTGACATATACCATACAGAACATCTTAAGATGCCATGATAAAATTTTCACAGATCAAACATCTTTCAAAGTAACCAGCACGCAAACCGGAAAAGAAAATGTTAACT